CTCTCCCCGCGGGTCACTCCAGAGTAGAAGAGAGTCCAGCCTCTCTCAAGGAGCTGGGTTCCAGAGCCCTGGCTGTGCATAGAGGCGAGCCCAACTATTTCTAGCTGGTATCGCTCCACCTCCCGCACAAGCTCGGGCTCCTTCCCCACCAGTGAGGTGACATTCGACGTCCCCAGAGCCAGTTTAAGCGCCCGTGGAACAGGTCGCTGAGGTCTCTGCCTCTGGCTGCCGCCCAATCCCCTTTGCACCGGTCCCTCATGGTTCCCCCTGCAGGTGGTGGGCCCACTGGGGGATGGCCTCGTGTCGCTCCTTCGGGCTGGGCCCGGCCGGGTCCCGCGAGGAAGAACCCGACCACCAGGTGCTCGCCGACGAACCCCAACCCCAGGTCTGGCTCCAGGGTGGGGTCCCGGCTCCGCCGTACCGGGCGACGTCACGTGCCTCGTTTTAGTCCTCGTCATAAGGGTTTTTTGAACCGCTCTTCGTCTGAGCTGTCACCCAGAGCCTGTTTGCCTTGGGAGACCCTTCCAGGGGCATTTAGCCCCCGACAACATAGCCTCTGGGATCACCCAGGCACTGAAACCCCTCCACCACGTTAAGGTGGCGGTTCAAGGAACTATTTATATATTAAGTATTTTTCTCCTCTGCTGTAAAATTGTTTATGCACCAATAACTGGACCTTCTGTGTTTTCAGCTTCACTCAGAGACAAAATGGCTTCCAGAGCAGAGGAGGGTCTCTGCTGTCCGGTCTGTCAGGACGTCTTTAAGGATCCAGTTGTTCTGTCATGTAGCCACAGCTTCTGTAAGGAGTGTCTGAAGAACTGCTGGAGAGAGAAAGAAGTAAAAGAGTGTCCAGTTTGTAAGAGGAGATCTTCAATGATTAACCCACCTTTAAATCTGGCTCTGAAGAACCTGTGTGAGACCTTCATACAGCAGAGAGAGCAGAGAGCTTCAGAGGATCTCTGCAGTCTGCACTCTGAGAAACTCAGACTCTTCTGTCTGGACCATCAGCAGCCAGTGTGTCTTGTCTGCAGAGATTCAGAAAAACACACAGAGCACAGATTCAGGCCCATCGATGAAGCTGCTCAGCAACACAAGAAGAAACTTCAGGAAACTCTGGAACCTTTAAAGGAGAAGCTGGAGCTCAGGAAGAAAGTTCAAGAGGAGTTTGATCAGACAGCAGAACACATGAAGGTCCAGGCCCGACACACAGAGAGGCTGATTAAGGAGCAGTTTAAGAAGCTTCATCAGTTTCTAGCAGAGGAAGAGGAGGCCAGGCTGGCTGCACTGAGGGAGGAAGAGGAGCAGAAGAGAGGGATGATGAAGGAGAAGATGGAGGCTCTGAGCAGAGAGATAGCAGCTCTTTCAGACACAGTCAGAGCCACAGAGGAGGAGCTGAGAGCTGAAGACGTCTCATTCCTGCACAACTACAAGGCTGCAGTGGAAAGAGTCCAGCGCTGCCCCCTGCTGGAGGATCCACAGCTGCCCTCAGGAGCTCTGATAGACCAGGCCAAACATCTGGGCAACCTGGCCTTCAACATCTGGAGCAACATGAAGGACATGGTGTCCTACACTCCTCTCATCCTGGACCCAAACACTGCTGGTTCAGAACTCATCCTGTCTGAAGATCTGACCGATGGGAATAAAGGAGAGGAACAGAATCTTCCTGATAATCCAGAGAGGTTTGGATCTTGCTTTTCTGTCCTGAGTTCTGAAGGCTTTAACTCAGGGAAGCACAGCTGGGATGTTGATGTTGGAGACAGTGAAGAATGGGACCTTGGTGTGATAAAACAGTCTGTCCAGAGGAAGGGAGCCATAGACTCTGGATTTTTGGTGATATGTTTCTGTGAAGATCAACACATTGCAGCATCCCCACCATCTCCTTCCAAAGTCCTCTCACTTCAGAAGAAGCTCCAGAGGATCAGAGTGAATCTGGACTGGGACAGAGGAAAGCTGTCCTTCTCTGATCTGGACACTAACACACACATACACACCTTCACACACACCTTCACTGACAAGATGTTTCCATACTTCTGCACTGCTAACAAAGTAAAAATCGTACCCATGAAGATCTCAGTAAGCAAAGAGCAGCTCTGATGTTCTCAGCATGAAGAACACAAAGTCCAAATAAAACCTTATTGATCTGATTGAAACTCAGTGTTTGAAACAGGAAACTGGAGATGATCTGATCTGATCTGACTGATCATCTGGTTGTTTTCAGGTCAGTTTCAGATCTGCTTCATAATCTGTCCAGAGGCTACAAACTAAGACATGAAGTGGATGATGTGGAGTTTAGTTTGGTTCTGACAGCAGATCCAGGTGTGCTGATCATGAACAGGGAACAGGTGAGGTTAGTGGAGACATCAGGACCCTGGAGAGCTCTGCTGATGGAAACAAACTGAGATCCAAACATCCAGACTGATGAACGCTGCAGAATCTGGTTTCTTCTTTCTTGGTTTGGTTCAGGAACATCTCAGATCAGATTTAATCTAAAATATAAACTGACAAAGAAACCTTGTATCTCGTCTTGGTACTTCAGATCCTGGTACTCGAGACTTCATGGTGTAGTTTTCTACTACAGGATTACTCGACAAATCTAGAAGGTTCTCTTTATCTCTTTTAGTTGAAGGTTTATAAAGATTTTCTGTTGCCTCCTGTTATTCCTGGGCCAACCTGCTACACATTTATTAATCATTAATACATGTTGGAGCCATTTGAAGCTCTGTTGCTTTGCATGAATGTCAGGGGTTTGAATCCTAGCCTGGGTTTCTCTCTGAATTCTACTTCTTCTCACAGTTTAAAACATGACTGTAAATTGGTCTTTGTTGTGTAACACAACCATTAATAAATAATTAGAAAATGTTGTAGGTGCAAGTCCCAGTGTAAATGCACGTGGAACGAAATGCTGGGATATATTTAATCCTCTGTCTGCCCCTGTACATGATGGTTTGGTCGAAACCACCTCCAGCTTCATTATTCTGCATCAATCGGTTGCACCTGCCTTCTTTCTGTAAGATATTTTCTGCATTTTTGATGCAATAATCAGCAAAAGTAAAAATATGTAATAAATGTTGGTTCATTTATATAGTGCCAATTCCCAACACACTTGTCATCTCAAGACACTTTACAGCGACAATACTGTTAGATTCATTAAAAGTTTCTTTTAAGAAAACCAGTTGACACACCCCTCCAGGAAGAGCTTGCAGTGACGACTTTCTCCTCCATTTTGTAGTAAACTCTTCAGCAATCCCTCACTCCAAGCATGGTTGTAGTGACAGTGGAGAGGAAAAACTCCCTCTTAACAGGGAGAAACCTCCAGAAGAACAAGGCTCATTGTGAGCTGCCATCTGCTGAGGCCGACTGGGGTTTAAGGAGACAAAAACAGAGATACATAAAAAAGCAAATATACAAAAGGATGTCATGATCTTGGCACCAGTCATCGGTGCCAAGATCATGACAACCTTTTGTATATTTGCTTAGCTCTTCCCAGTTTTTATTATTACTCATAAGATCCACCTGTTCCAGTTCTTATTTAAACTGCTTGTTTCCAGACATCAGTGCCAGCTCTGAGAAAGGCAACTGTCAACCAGCTCCTCAGGCGGCCCCCTCCTGGAAACACTGAATCTGTCAAACTCGGAGAAACAGGACTACCCTGAAAAACAAGCCAAGCTCCAACATCTATAAACAAAGGTGTTGATGGCAGCAGCATAGTGGATATTTAAGTCAAGTATGGAGTCACAGCCGAACAGGATAAGAACAGATTAACCTAAAATCATGAGTGGAACTGAATGAATACTGCAGAATAGGAGAAGAAAGATAGAATGAAATGGTACATGGCTTGTACTTATATAGCGCCTTTATATAAGTCAGGAGACTTGACCAAAGCACTTTACACTACATTCATTCACCCATTCACACATTGTAGCCACAGCTGCCCTGGGGCTTACTGACAGAACCGTACACTGGCGCCACCGGGTCCTCTGACCACCATCAGTAGACAATGCAGGTGAAGTGTCTTGCCCAAGGACACAACAACACTGAAAGTCAGAGTTGGGGCTTGAACAGTCAATCCTTAAATTTCAGGGCAAACTCCTACATCCAACACCACTGTCGCCCTGAAGCAGAATGATGGACAGCAGTGCTTGATGTTTGGGTGCTATGTCCAGCAGCCTAAACCAGTGTTTCCCAATCTTTTTTGACTTGTATATGGCTTTGGGCATTTTTCTTATTGTGAGTTCCCCTCTCAGTCAAAAGTATTGATGCTGGTCAAAAGGGGAATGTAAAATAACTGTTTATAAAAGAAAAAATATTTTACTTCATCTTTTAAGCATTTCTTTGAGCGTTTAATTCTTATAATTTTATGCTTTCAATCTTAAACATATAAACAACATAAATATGTTGCCTGGAAGTTAGTAAGGAATGGAAATAAATACAAAATTAAATCATATTATAAACTTGTATTTATAAAACTGGTGCTCCTCTGAGTAACTCCTTTATAATCAGCGGACAGCTTCTAACTACAGTTTGTGGACTTTCTGATTTTAAAGAATTACAATAGTCCTGCCTTGTCCAGACAGGATATTTCAAATTTTTTGCAATATTCTGTAGATGTAAAGAAGGAAATTCTAGAAATCTGTTTTTATATGGGATTTAAATGACAGGTCCTAATCAAAAATCACAAGTTTTTTACTTTATAATCTGAGATTAATTTAACCCCATCCAGATGAAGTGACTGACTAATCAGCTGTTCTTTCAAACAAATCTAGTACAGACAATAACTCGTGTTTTGTCTGCAACCAGAAACAGAAAGTTACAAGTCATTTGGGTTGTTATGTCTTTAAGACTTGCCTGTAGTCTATGCAATGGGTTAGCTTCATCTGGATTTATAGACGGATATAGCTGAGTATCGTCAGCATAACAGTGGAAATTAATCCCTGGCTGTCTAATATTCCTACCTATTGGGAGGATATACACTGTTCTAAAAATAAAGTTAACACTCAAATAAGACATCCTACATGTAGATAGATAAATTAATGAAATATGCTCATTGAGTATTTTTTTTTCTACAAAGTCATCTGTCCTGACAACAATTTATCCCAAGTCTAACATTGTCCAGCATTAGGAGGAACCCAGGGCCAACCACACCAGCAAATGGCCTCACAGGGGGTCTGATGATTTTATGTTGGTACCTAATGGCTGTCATGCTACCTGTGGTGAGCATATGGAGGGCTATGCAGCTCACCAAAGAAATGCCATCCCACACCATTACTGACCCACTGCCAAATTGGTGATGTTGTAGGATTTTTTGGACAGCAGATCACTCTCAATTGTGTCTCCAGACTCTGTCATGTCTGTCACATTTGCTCTATGTGAACCTGCTTTCATCTGTGAGGAACAGGTTGCCAGTGACAAATATGCCAATCCTGCAGTTCTCTGGCAAACATCAAGCACCCTGCATGATCTGGGCTGTCAGCAGAACCTCCACCTGTGGACATCAGGCACTCATACCATCCTAAAAGAGTCGGTTTCTAAACGTTTGTGCAGACACATGCACATTTGTGGCCTGCTGGAGATCATTTTGCTGGGCTCTGGCAGTGCTTCTCCTATTACTCCTTGCACAAAGGCATAGGTAGAGGGAATGCTGTTGGTTTGTTGCCCTCCCACGGCCTCCTCCACATTTGCTGGTGTCCAGTCTCTGAACAATAAGCTGAAAGACGCAACTAACCTTCTTGCCACAGCTTGCATTGATGTGCTATCATGGATGAGCTGCAAAACCTGAACCACTTGTGTGGGCTGTAGAGTCTATTTCATACCATGAGTGTGAAAGCACCACCAACATTCAAAAGTGACACTCAAACATCAGGCTGGGAAGCATAGGTACTGAGAAATGGTCTGTGGTCCCCACCAACAGAACCAGTCCTTTATTGAGTGTGTCTTGCTAATTGCCAATAATTTCCACCCATTTTCTAATCCAATTGCACAACAGCATGTAAAATTGAAGGTCAATCACTGTTGCTTCCTAAGTGGACAGTTCGATTTCATAGAAGTTTGATTTGATTGAAGTTCTTTTTTAACTTCACTCAGTGTTTCACTATGTTAATCGCCTAAGCATGACCAACTGCAGAAGCTCAGGTGACATCACGTCTGTTTGTGACAGACAGGTTGAGTCATGTCCGTGCCTCAACCCAACAACCACTATCGCAGCCATCCTACCAGCCTCAATCTATTCCTGCTTTCTTCCCGCATGAAGACTACAGCTAAGCTCCATACTAGCTTGGACATTTTCAACAGTTTGTAGGCATTCTGTAAAATAAAACATCAACCAGGACAGACCTGTGCTGGGCTAGGTAAGCAACTAGGAACAAGAATTTTCTAGAAACACAAATGTTGGGAGCAGTGGCACCGTAAAGGCGAGATGTTCTTATATCTACTCTCTTTAAAATTAATAGAATACAGAGTGTTTGTGTCGGCCAAGTTGACACATGCCGAGCAGACTCAATCTTCTCATTTAAGAGCTTACGTGTTACAACAAGCTCCATGTAAGTCCATTGTCATGG